CCAACAATTCATGGCTCTTGCATCACAACAATGCACCAGCTCACTGGCACTGTCTGTGAGGGAGTTTTTAGCCAGTAAACAAATAACCATATTGAAACACCCTCCCTACTTCACCTGATCTGGCCCCCAATAACTTCTTTCTTTACCCAAAGATAAAGGAACTATTGAAAGGAAGACATTTTGATGCCATTCAGGACATCAAGGATAAGATGACGGCTCTGATGGTCATTCTAGAAAGAGAGTTCCAATATTGCTTTGACAGGTGGACTAGGTGCTGGCATCGGTGCATAGCTTCCCAAGGGGAGTACTTCGAAGGTGACCATAGTGATATTCAGCAATGAGGTGTGTAGCACTTTTTCTGGGGTGAGTTTGCGAACTTAATTGTCAGACCTCGTATATGAAGTGATTTGGACTTTCTCATCTAGCACTGTGTGTATTTGTATCAGCCTGAAGAAGGTATATGATTGGATTGGTCTAGTGCTGGGATTTAAGTGGTGGTATTTACAGAAGGACAGACTGATATGGGCTTGAAGGCACCAACACAAGGCCAGGTAAAATGACCTATGAGGCCACGGCTAATTGCAGAAAGACAATCAAGAGGACACTGATGGATTCATAAAAGTAGTAAGAATCGTCATGAAATAGTAAATGTTGATGAAATTCAAGAGCATGTTAAATGTAACTATGGAATAAAAGAACTGGGTGGGTGGAGCTGTGATCAGAGACAAGCTTATGCATATGTGGCTGTGATGAGTAGAAGGAATCCATTGTTCTTCCCTTTGTACTGCCTATTTCTACACAAAAATCTGATCAGAGGGGCGAGATACAAGTTGGATAAAAGGAGGGAATAAAAACTTTATGGACAGAGAAAGTGTAGAATTCTTCTGCTGTAAAGGGGCAGGAGAAGATTTAGAAGAAAAGGAGAGCAAAGTATATATATCTATATAGATATAGATATATAAATATATATAGATATAGATTATAGATATAGATATAGATGATATAGATATAGATTTTTAAAAATAAAATCTTATTAGGATTCAGACTATGAGGCAACATGTTTAATAGAAAAAGAGGAATGGCAAACATTTTGGTAAAAAATGAAAGTGGATCTGATTTAAAATGTGATGCAGAATTATTGATGATGTGACAGGAGGAGAAAGAGGAAGAGGAAGTGGGTGTAAATATTTGAAAGGAGTTCTCCAAGTTCAATTAAACCCTTAGGCCAGTCCCCAAATTAAATTAGATGCCAAGAAATAGTTGGCAAGCAAAGTGTAGTAATTAAGTGCCAAAGGGCTAGGAATGAGGCCAGCCTTGCACCATTATGCCACCTCTTCGTGGCCCTGTTCATTCTATTATGGGAAACTTAGTAAATGAAACAAGCAGACCACAAAAAAAGATAACTGAAACTAGATACTAAGGATAAACACACCCGTGGCCAGAGATGTGGACTCCAAAGGCAGCTCTGCTTTGGCCAAATGGGAATTTACACTCTTGTGTAAATAATGTGCCAGGCTCCTGGGGTCCAGCCTCAATGAAGGACGAGGCAGTGTTCACAGATGAAAGAAAAGCAGGCTGTAAGCTAATAAGCTGTTAGTGTTCTTCAAATAAAGATATGCATGGATTTGTAGCCTGGGTAATAACCAGTTTCAAGCTTTTAATATAAATTCTAGCACAGAGGGCCATGTTGCAGCTCTGGTAGGCGCTTTCAAGTACCAAGGGTACCAAGCCCAATCGGAATCAGGTTACAACGTAAATATCAGAATCTTGAAATATCTAAGAGCTCCTACCAAAGTTCCAATGTTAATTCATTATCTGTAAACTATGTAAATATATACATATATGCATATGTAAATATATGTAAACTATGTAAATCCATAGATAATTTAATGTGTAATGTATATTTAATGTATAATCTAAATGTATATGACACACACACACACACACACACACACACACACACGGTGCCAAAAAATTGTATATACATTTTAAGAAAGGAAAAAACTGTTATTAAAATTACGCTGATGGTGACCACTTTGGAGCACCTCCTGTAATTGCAGAAGTCAAACGTGACTTGTATTCACCTTTCATTATCTGTATATATTGAGTGTTACAATTTAGTAGTTTTTTCCTTTTTTAAAATGTGTATACATTTTTTTTGGCACCCTCTGTGTGTGTGTGTGTGTGTGTGTGTGTGTGTGTGTGCGCGCGCGCGTGTAATTTTGTTGTTTCTTATTTTGATTGGGTTGTTACAATAATGTTTAAACCAATGCAGATAATCCTACCTCCAATCCATTTGTTTTCATATTTTACATACTTGTTTTTGATTAGTAAGAGTAGCCTTTCTGGTAGAGAGTGGAGGGGGCTATTCTAAAAGATCACAACTGGCAGAGGAAAGTAACTTGGAGCTTATTTGTGCCTTAGATCAGAGTATCTAGCAGACACATTTAATTACTTCACCTCTAATGGATAACATTAACTTTGCTGTGTATGAACACAATGTAAAAAGGAAATTGTAACAGCAGAAAGAATTTCTGTTGCTGCCTAGAGCATTTGGTGAGAATCAGAAACCAGTTAATCCAAGGAATTAGAGTTGTAAGGTATTGTAAAAAGTAGAGATTCAGAAAGTACTCTTTATTTATTATTAAAAACCAGTAGAGGATCTACAGAACGTCCTTGCATCATGGTTATAAAATAGGAAGGGCTTTTCTTTTATTCATTTTCTGCAGACAACTTATCGCATTTATTCACACAGAATCCTTGGAATGAAGTAGATCCAGGGACCATGATCCCCAGTTTAGGAGTGGATGCAGAAAGCTCCCAGTGAACAGTCCAAAAAAGTGTAGCCAGTGGCAGAGCTGAGACTCGAGCCCTGCTACTGATTTAAACGTCTTTGTAACTGGTCCACGTCGTCTTTTAAAATCTTTAGACTCTAAAGTCAAAATGGCCACTAGAATAGAGCCCTTTAATAAAGCAGATTGGACTATTACAATATAAAAATTGGAATATGGGATTGCTCTATACTTGATAAATGTACCTAAATCCCCAACAATGTACTAAATTTCAGGTTATAGCCTCGAGTGTTTTTGACGGAGTTGCAGAAAAGCAGAGAAAGCAGAAAAGTTCTTCACTTTTTTAACTGACAGCCAAGAATATGTGTAACAAGTTTTGTATAAAAATTACTTTTGAATGGAATTATGTGTTAGAGAATTTTGCCTAAATAAATAAATTATCTGTGAAATGGGAATAAAGCCTATGACCGCTTTGCTTTATAAAGAGTGAGGATTAATAAAAAAAACCCTGACAGACTGCTCTAAAATGATTGGAAAAGACTTGAAAGAGGGATTCAGGGTATTGTCAAAACGCTAAGAGTAAATGGGGAAAGAGATTTTGTCCAAGAGGAAATGTTAACTCATTTATAATTTAAATGGTCGATCCACAAGACACTTACGTGTGCTCCCCATTACAGCCACATCCTAAATGTAAGGTAAAAGGAGTTTTATTTTATCTCCAAAGGGAAA